TGGGAATTTTCATACCCCTACTTACGCCTAGATGTGAAGTTTTTGTTTGTCCACTACATCATAGAAAAATTAGTACAAACCCTACCTCGTTGGCCTACAACTCAACTTATAGCCTCTATTTAATTTAGATAAAAATCAATTTTTTAGTAAATTTTATAGAAATTGATGGAATACGTTGCTGAAAATGAGTTTTAAATATATATTAAAAAAAATTGAAGAATGGTAGACGAACGGGGCTTAATATTAACAAACTCTTTTGGATCATATAATTGCAGATACATTCAAGTTGACCGTGGATTTTGGCAAGACTTATTTGCTCCGAATGGTTAACGCGGTCATGAACAACATTATGTTCTTTAAAATTGCAAACCACAATATCACTGTAGTTGGATCAGATGGCAGTTATACCAAGCAGGATTTTGGCAAGACTTATTTGCTCCGAATGGTTAACGCGGTCATGAACAACATTATGTTCTTTAAAATTGCAAACCACAATATCACTGTAGTGGGATCAGATGGCAGTTATACCAAGCCCTTCAAGAGTGATTATATTACCATCTCTCCAGGCCAAACCATTGATCTCTTGTTGGAAGCTAACCAAAATCCTAGCCACTACTACATGGCTTCAAGGGTGTATGCCAGTGCAGGCCTTTATGACAACACAACTACAACAGCTATTGTTCAGTATCGAGGAAATTTTACTCCACCAGCATCACCATTACTCCCAAGTTTTCCAGATTTCAATGATACAAATGCTTCAGTTAATTTCACTAGACAACTCAAAAGTTTAGCAAATAAGAAATATCCTGTTGATGTTCCTTTAAATGTGACCACTAAATTATCCTTCACCCTTTCCATCAATTTAATCCCTTGTGCCAATGATTCGTGTGAGGGACCTTTCAACGACCGTCTTTCAGCAAGTGTGAATAACATAACCTTTCAGCTACCTAGAGTCGACATCCTTCAAGCTTATTATAGGCGCATCAGAGGTGTTTATGGAAATGACTTTCCCAACAATCCACCATTTCAATTCAATTATACTCAAGATTTTGTCCCTCGAGACCTGTGGACGCCTCAAAACGGGACAGATGTTGTAGTTCTTCGCTACAATTCCACTGTGGAACTTGTCTTCCAGGGAACAAACACAGTTGCAGGGATAGATCATCCCATGCACTTACATGGATATAGTTTTTATGTAGTTGGGTCGGGATTTGGAAACTTCGACAAAGACAAAGACCCATTGAATTATAATCTCGTAGACCCTCCTCTAATGGAAACAATTGCAGTTCCTAGAAATGGTTGGACAGCAATCAGATTCAAGGCAAATAATCCAGGAGTATGGTTTATGCATTGCCATTTTGAGCGTCATGTAAGTTGGGGAATGGGAATGGTATTCATTGTTAGAAATGGCAAGAGCCGAGATGCTAAAATACTGCCTCCACCTCCAGACATGCCAAGGTGTTAATGCTGAACAAAAACGAAATCTCTTGTGCTTCTAATTTAATACTCAGTAAACGTGCAGGTACAGGATATTTTTACAGTCTGTTTTTATTTTTTTATTTTTCTTCTTTCAATGAAAAACCTTCCAAGTGTAATTTCTGTTGATTTTATGTTGTTTTTTCCTGTACCTATAGTTCTGTTTCAACTTGCAATTTTGGTGGTGTGTGCTTCCTTTTTTGTAATCTGAAAATTTACCAGAATAAAGGAAATTTTTCGCTTACATCTATTCAATAACACACTAGTCTCAATGATGACAAAAACCCGTTCAACCCAATATCCATCGGTCCCCGTCTCGAATAGAGTGTGATTATCCGCTTAATGGGGTGGACGGGGTGGGGTTAGAGCGATGATCATTACTCCAAAGCGTGTACGAAAAACATAGTCCCCGCTTCGCTACCCACTCCATTTAAAGTTAATTTCAAATTTAAATTTTTTATCAAACAAAAATAATAGATTTATCATCATTTTTATAGAGAACATAAGATGTTTTTAACAAATTAGTAAAAAAGTAATAATATTTACACTAAAGACATACAAAATAAAAACAAAAATTAAAATAAATAAGAAAGAAAAAGAAAAAATAAATGGGGCAGGCCCCACCCCGAACCGAACCCGCCCCTCCCGCTGTAAGCCTTTAACTGATCATGGGGATGTGACAAGATAACAAAAAATACCCGATGGGACGGGGTGAAAATGATCAATCCATCCCATACCCACTCAATTGTCTTCCATGTATAGTCCGTTTGGAAAGAATTTATAAACGAGAAATAAGTTAAAAAATAAAAAATGTTATCATATATATAAAAAATTTATAAATTCATTGAACGGATAAATTATAAAGTTTCTGCAAATGTGAGGCCTGGCATAAGACCAAAAGTAGTGTCCCCAAAGTGAAATGTGACCTCGAACCAATATAGCTAGCACATACAAATAGTGCCAACAAATTAATTTAGCTTCTCATATAAATCATAAAATTGATCAACGGACGGACGGTGCAGAATAGATACATAATCTACTCTCTCTTAAAAAAGGGATTTTGAGGATTACTATTCATTTGTGATTTCTCCTCACATATCATTGTTTCATATGTGGAAAAAAAAAATATACAAGCCCACAATTGTTGACTTCGAAAAAAAAAATGGTGCGTCACAGAGAAAATGTATTCCTTCGTGAATTGAAGCGTCCACAATGTTAGGTCATAATATTAAATCTTTTTAGTAGGTATAAATTTATAGTGATTAAAAAGTAGGTGCAAACAAAGAGAAATCTTGATTGCAAAGGTCTAACCGGAATAGGCTTGGGATCAAAAGAAACAACCACCCCGGCAATCTCTGTTATTCTCTGTCAACACAAATAACGTGTCGTAAGTTACATTTGAAAGTCAACGGTTTCTGACTCCAAAAAGCGACTTGGGCAGACTAATGGAAGTACCTAAAGAATATAGCGGGACACCCGTACTTGATCTCCTGCAGAGATGCCGACTGATGGACCAACTTGGTATTCCCACTGTGCCATGGACCGAAAGGAATTTGAACAATCAAGTAAAAAATAAAAAAACCTGATGTAATTGCATTGGTAGAGGAAAGTTCAACTCATAAAATTCAACCCTTTTTACCTGGCCAGGCATAACTTCTCCATTGATGCCATGCCACTAATGTTTATGCCAGCATAAAGACATGCTTTATAGCGAGCATCAACAATATCACGTCCAAAGGCCTTATCAGCACCAATGGCACAATAGTATGGTCCCTATTAATCAGGCACAAGACGCGTTAAAATCTTGATTATGGGAAACATAGGAGGCTAGACAATAGAAAATAGGGGATTTTCCTACAGGTTATAATTAGACTAGACGAAAGTTATGCAGTGGAAAACGTCATTAGTGATTCCTGAGGTCCCGGGAATCCTCCCACTGGCCATCCAAGTGGCCATTTGACATCTTTTTACAACAAAGTATACTCTTGCTCTATACCGTACCTGTATTTCAACTATTTGATCAAATTCCGTCATATACAATAAAGAATCTTGATACCTGAAAACCAAAACTACTATAAGAACCAAAGGGATAAGATTGTACCAAGGTTCCTCAGCAGTAACGTCAAGATGGCTAAATGTTTTCGCATCATTATCATTCAGTGTCTGCGGAGACAATAAAAAAAAAATTCTCTGCCGCGCACCGTGTCTTTCTCCGCTCACCGCGAAGACACTATGTCTCCTTTCGGAGACACCATGTCTTCGCACCTCACGGAGACATGGTGTCTCCATGCGGAGACATTAAAAAAAAAAATCTCCGGTGCCCGGAGAGTGTCTCTCCGTGCAGAGACAGAGACATGTCTCCGTGCAGAGACATTAAAAAAAAAAAATTCTCCAATGCGCGAGACATTTTTTTTATATATACAACAGATACAAGTCTTCCTTTTTTTTTTCAAATTGACTCTTCTTCTTCTTCTTCTTGTTATTAAATGTAGGCAATAACATTTGCTTACATTTTTACACAAATTAAATATAATTTTACTTATTAATTATTTGATATGTACTGTTTGTATTTATATTAAAATAGATTGAAATTTAAGTTATATTTGCTTATAAATTAATTATATCTTTTAAACACCACATGAAAATTAGAATTCCTCTCGGGAGCGTTCCCCACGACCTGATCGGGCCTCGACCCTCGCGACCCGATCAAGCCGGTCGATCCCCGTCGATGGCTTTGCCCTCGAGCACCCACGAGGGGCGTTGCTCCCTCGACCCACGCAACCTGACCGAGCAGGTCGATCCCCGCCTTTTGGGGGCAACGCAACAAATTGTTGAAAATATCTGTTACACTCATTTGATTCATACTAAAGAACACAGCTAAAGAGACTCCCACAATACAGTTACAAACAGAAGTTGCCTTATCCCCGTGATTGATGTGTTTGCATTGTTTTGCACTTGCAGTTTTCTTATGTGCTGCTTAGTAACTAAATTAGTAATGATTTGATCTTAAAATCTATCATGTTTCTGTAATAAATTCTGGCATGTATTTAGGAAGCTAGGCACTGTTTGTTTATGCTTTTTCCCCTAATTTTAATACATTTTCTTACCGTTGCCAGTCGCAATTGTTGACCTTTCTCTCACACTCATTTGATTCATACTAAAGAACACAGCTAAAGAGACTCCCACAATACAGTTACAAACAGAAGTTGCCTTATCCCCGTGATTGATATGTTTGCATTGTTTTGCACTTGCAGTTTTCTTATGTGCTGCTTAGTGACTAAATTAGTAATGATTTGATCTTAAAATCTATCATGTTTCTGTAATAAATTCTGGCATGTATTTAGGAAGCTAGGCACTGTTTGTTTATGCCTTTTCCCTTAATTTTAATACATTTTCTTACCGTTGCCAGTCGCAATTGTTGACCTTTCTCTCACACTTCAGCTCAAGAGGGTATTTGGTGGGAATTAAAATTAGGGCCCTGTTTGTTTATGCTTTTCCCCAAATTTTAATCCATTTTCTTATCGTAGTCAGCCGCAATTGTTGACCTTTCTCTCACACTTCAGCTCAGCAACAGTCCGAAAATTGCTTTTAATTTGGGAAAAAATTGTTGCCAGACAAGCTCTTAATGTTCTTTCAACTGCAGTTTCTGAATGAGTACAAAGAGATAGCTTAGAGGCTACTGCGGGCATTAATAAATGTTCGGAGAAGATAACTAAAGCTAACAAGTCCAATGGACATGACAAGTACAGAAACAAGACGAAATACCATATCCAACAAAATGTCCTGTATTTACCTAGCTGATGGGTAAATACCATAAGATCATTAACAATATGTGACTGGGTATTGGTTAATAGTCATACACCAGCTTCAGTATGTCATCTTCGACGAGGCTCTATGCTTGTTGCTTCAAATATTAAATTGTTGAGAACATTGTAATTTTATATCAAATATTGGTAAGAACATTTTCTTAAATTCCAATTTACATACAAGTTAACCAATCCTAATCTTTTTGCATTTGATGTCATCATAACTTCTGCTAGGTAAAGTGTATTTACTATACAATTTTACTGATATCACAAGTTGAGTTATGAAATATTGTATAGAAAAAATATAACTGAATGAAGGAGAATTCAACATATTGAACGTGCCAACATTGCCTACAAAATAACCAATCCCGTGTAATGCACGGGCAAAAATTAGTAATTAAATTTAATTCTTCATTCGTTCCAGTAGCTTTTTTTTTAATATTTATCAAATTTTCAATGTGTTAAAAAGTTATAAAATAGACTGGAAGACTTGTGAACATGGTTTACAAGCACTTTGTAAAGACGTATTCTTTTTCAAGTTTGTTAATGTTTAAAAGTTACTTTTATTGTAAGGTACATTTTTTGTAACTCATATTTGACAAAATGACTAATGACATGGTATCTTTACTTACTAAAATTTATTCTAATTAGTATCATAAAGTTAAGCCAAAATCCATAAATTTAAGGGCATGTTTAATAGGCCATTTTTTCCATGAAATTGGAAATGGAATTCCATCATTTACCAAATTGAGTGTTTGATTGGCATCGTTTTCTTGGCAATTCACTTTCTTGCTTTTGTCTCTCACACACCAATTCAATGATTTTGTGGAAAATGAATTGGTGAGAATTCATTTTCCAGTTTATTTATTTATTTTTATTTTTTTTTTTGGAATGGAAATAAATTTTATCCCCAATTGTAAAAAAATATATTCCTTTAATGGACAATTTTCATGTCAAACAAAGTCAAACGAATATCAAAAGATCCAAAATTTTAATATTTTCTATGTGAAAAATTATACTAATCAAACACAATTAATTGACATTTCCCTGAAATTCATTTTCTTTCCACTCAAATTTCACTATTGCAATCAAACGGACCCTAAGCATTAACAAAATAAATGGAGAAAAAATGAGCCAAAAAATAAAAGAGGATGAAGTGATATCTATAGGTTGTGCAGTGGGATTGTGTTCTTTGTTTTCAGAAGGGTGCGTATTAGTAAGATTACTAATAAATAAGCTAAGTGGGATATTTGGTGGCAGGAGTGAGGAAAGAATTAACCCTTGAAGGTGCAAGTTGAAGGTAACAATATATTGCAAATAAGTGGTGAGAGAGTAGTTGAACAGGAGAATGCAAACAACAAGTGGCGCCGGGTGGAAAGCCGTCGTGGAGGCTTTTTGAGGAAGTTCCGGCTGCCAGAGAATGCGTAGTTGGATGAGATCAAGTGCGAGCTGAAGCATGGAGAGTCAGACAGTGACTGCGCCGAAAAAGGAAGAGCGTGAGGCTCCCTTCTTACAATCTATATATCTACAAACTTAAGTCTAGTCTTTGGCTGGGTTTCTTGTATGTTTGGCCTACTATATTAATTTTCAATTATGTTGGCAGCTTGGAAGTGTGGTACTTTGTAGTATTAATTCTCTTTGCTGGATACCTAAAAAATGCAGTAGCAGCAGTGGATGCTATATCTTTATGGTGAGTTCTTCAAATTCTTAAGGGTTTTGCTATACGAACAGGGGGCGCCATGTGCGCCCTTGTAGAGACAGGCCTCATCGTCCATCTTGTCAATTTCACTGTCCAATATGACGTATGAAACACCAAGTTTCGACATTCTTTTAATCCTACTTTAAAAATGCAGCATACACATAGTAGGGTGGGCAATTATGCTAGCAATTGGATTGAATGCAGCCATAAGGTTTGTTTATTCCCGTCTCAATTCTGCCTATTAACAAAAAATCTGCTTATTTTGTACATAATCTGCTTATTTTGAAGTGTAAGGGTGTCAAATGAACTTGGGGCTGGTCATCCAAGAACTGCAAAATTTTCAGTGGACTCATTCTAATGGTCGCTCGAAGCCACTACCCTGCCTTATTTTCAAACAATGGGGAAGTTCAGAAAGTTGTGCATGATCTTACTCCTTTGCTAGTAGTTAGCGTTATTATTAACACGGTTCAACCTACCCTCTCCGGTATGCATAATCTTCATCTTTAAAATTATATCGCACATATTCATTATATGCAAGGGCGGAGCTACCACATTTATAAACTGTTTTTAAACGCTCAAATCATATTTTATCTAAATATTTCGAGGGCTTCATAATTACCGTTCACTTATCAACTACTATTTTTTTATCTATTTAAAATTTGAATGATTTATAAATACTTTCCAAACATGCTCACCGAGCTACCAAGACCGATTTGTAGGTGGCTCGAGATGGCCTTTTCAGCAATATTATAACATACCCAAAATCTGAAAAAAGTTCGTAGGTTTAAAATGACCCAACGTAGTTTGACATACCTAAAATTATCTAGCTCCGACACCATTTTAAGGGACATCACTTGCTAAGAGTCTTGCAACATACTATAGGCATCTTGCATTATCTGAGCCTAAACTGTTCAAAACATGTTGAGTCGAACTTGTCACAAGCCGTTATGGATGCAAGAAATAGGTTAAATCGTGTTCAACTTGTTATGTACAGGAGTGGCCATTGGAGCAGGCTGGCAAACCTATGTAGCATGTGTGAACATTGCTTGCAACTATTTATTTGGAATTCCATTGGGCATCACACGGATAGGTTCTTCAAATGGGAGTGAGGGTATGCAAACATCTATATTTTCCACTTTCCCATTCTTTTAAGGGTAATTGGCACTAGGGATCGGATCTCTAGTTTCATGGAAAAACCAGAGATTTTGTCTGATTTCCCATGATCAGCAGACAATTTTCTGAATAGAAACCGTTCAAGGGATCTCTCTGTATATTAGTTTAAATGCTTGGGATCGGAACCAAAAATGAAAGATTTTACCTCACTTTTTCGAAAGGTTTGCTGTGATTTCAGGGCATTTGGTATGGAATGCTGTCAGGGACAATAGCTCAAACTTGTGCCCTGTTTTGGATGATATACAGGACTAATTGGAACAAAGAGGTAAGAATAATCGCTTATTGTCAACAGATTTAAATATTATATTACACCCAAATAATAAATTTGTTTCTAAATGCAGGCTTCAATTGCCAAAGATAGAATAAGACAATGGGGAGGTGAATATGTGCCAACAGAGACTGAAATTGAAGGAAGATCCTAATTATGTACATTTTTATTGTACAAGAACGCAACAAAACAGGGCCTCTAAGAGAACACAGTAGATTGCAAAGAAAATTGATGTGAAATTGCTTGTGCAATGCAAAACCTCTAAATAAACAATTTGATAAGGTTCCTTGTTCTTGTTTTCCTTTTTTACCCTCCCTTCCTGATTCGCAATAAAAATTGATAAATTAGTTCAATTATCCATTAATTTCACGTAACGCACATAAGCAAAAATTCCCATTTACATATTCATGAAGATAAGTATCAATTCGTAACAGCTACACAAGTTCCAATCAGCACCCACACGATAGCGCACATTAATCCAAGTAAAGATAAACATAAAAAACCACTCCTAGATTTGCCTGAAGAACTTGAAGTTGCAGAGGTATTACCTGCAGCATGATTCATGTTTCTGGCATTTATTCTTACCCTACCGAAGCTAGACATACGCTCAAAAGCTCTATTTACCAAAGCAATTTCTGAAGCTGAAGCAGGAGTTGTGGGTATAGACTCCACAAAATCCCAAACAGCAGAGGAGAACCACGAGCGTGTAACATTATCAGGCTCGCCACTTGGATTTTGATTTGCTCCAGTAGAAAGATTGACCGAATCACTTTGATTTTGATTTTGATATTGTTGTACCATACCTAAACAAGCCAAAACTAACATTAAAAAACAGTGGCTACTAAATTAGAAGAAGAGCTCTTGAAGCCAACTAAATCTCCCCCATTTCCCACTTGGGCACGAGAGATTTTACCATCCATCAGACCAAGAGCTCTTTGAGGTTTGACAAAGAAGAGAATAAATGTTGCACAGCTCGTGAATAATTATAATAGGGAGATCGCGGATACATTCGTGGCTGCTCGAAAAAGCATCACTTGAATTTTCAATTATTTAGTACCTGAAGCTGGTGAAGGAATCATCCCCACATTTGGGTCCGTATCAGATAAAAGACTGGATATTTGCTCATCCGCCCACAACTGAGAACTGATATCATTTGCATCATTTGAATGTGACCACAGCTGGTAATTTGCAGCACTATTCTCAAGATTGTTCAGATAAGAACTTGAGATAGGGATAACTCCATTATCAAAATTGTATGGTCGAGAAATCTGCCCAGGTTCAACAGGCCCCGCCTCATGAAGAAGCATGGGTGCATCTTGGAAGAGATCAAGTTCACTCAAGCCATCGAACCCATCAAACTGCAGATTATCCAAATCGTCCAGAGGATTATCTAGATTTTTCAAGGTCGGTTCTGGACCAATAAGGTCATTCATTTCAAGAAAATCTTCAAGGAAATCGTCTTCGGTCACCGGAGGCTGTCCATGGTTACCATTTGGAACGGAAGTGACCTCAGGAACCTCATAAAACTGTAACTGTGTTGTTCCCGACTGTGCCAAGTCTAAACTGGATTGCACATTATGTTCTTCACTGCATGGTTGGAGCACTGTACTTCTTGCAGGTAAATGCCCTACAGATTCCTCAAGCAAGGTACTTTGAGTTCCCTCCTCACCCGCAAACTGATCCAGAGCATAGTCAATATCAACACCAGGTGGCTCAACAAATATGGGGTCTTCTGCTATTCGGTTCATGAACTCCTCAAGGTCATTTAATGGAGGCGGCACTTGACGATTAACATGGGCATTATTTACAGGCAAGATTTCATTTGCCTGGTTTACAGGGTTCTCCTGGTCAACCACTCCATTGGCATCTAGTCCATCATCAGCCCAATCCTCCTCCCTAAAGGGTGCACCATATTGCTCGCCATTTTTGGGACCTGGCCCACTCTTCTTGAAAACCTTGTACAGTGCATAATAATCCTGGGCAGTTTGGCATCTTTTTAGCTCCTCCTCATCCAGGGTATACTCATGCATCACCCAGTCCGTACGTTCTCCACTAGGGGCACGACCTATATGGAAGACTAGAGTCTTCTTTAACCCAACAGCACGTGAACCACATCTGATTATACGATCCTTCCCAGTTGCTTTCCAGTATCCATGCCTTGTTGCTCGATTGGACCTTGCTCCATTTGGATACTTCCTATCACGGGGGCTAAAGAAGAACCATTGCCTGTCCCCAGTTTTCAACTTAGATATCCCTGCATTTAAGATATGTGAAAACTTGGTCAACTAAGTGCTCAAGGGGGAAAAAATTTAAAAAAATCATAGAATTCATTCTACAGTAAAACGAAAAATGAAGCGTCTATCAGGTGTGAGTTGGTATTGAATCCTGTGCGACCTATTCCGTTTATAGTTTATGCACCGGCACAGGTCAACATAGGAACACAGTTAATTATGTCTGAAGTGAATTTCTTTTTCTACTTTCCCCTTAACAGTAGTCACAACAACCGTTTACCTCGTGATATTTGTAAATCCACAATGCTAATTGATTTCCGGAATAAAATTCGAAGAAAAGACAATTCATGAAAATAAACCCAAATAAATCGGGCCAATAATTATTTGTTAAATCAAATCAGGAGACCCACATTTGAATAAATCGAGTGGTTAAACTAAACATGATTCAAAAAATTGAATTATGTCGATAATTAGTTAAAACACGCCCAAATTAATCATACAACACGTTTACACCAAATTTAGTCAACAATAATTCTGATTCTAATTGATCATCTGTACACAAAAAGAGCTGAAACGTATACGTACGTCAACAAAAACCCACTGAGCATAATCACGATCCCAAAGAAAGAATCAAATAAAAAATGGACCAAAACAAAATTAATTGATGCAGATTATAAAATAAGTCAAAAATCACAAACCCATCTACAAAACCATATAATCAGCAACTAAATAACAGAAATCAGCATTGAAAATAAAAAATAGGTGGGTAGTGAAAATTTACCAGGCAAGTCTTCTGGGTCCCACTTGTAGACATCGGTTTCTCCAATGACATCAAGAAGGAGTCGTCTCCTGCAGATCTTCCTCTTCAAATAGTAGAGCACAAGCTCTTCATCCGTTGGGTGGAATCTGAATCCCGGAGGAAAAACCCCGTCTCCGAAACACCCTGAACCAGATTCCGGCGTCATATTCATCTTTTTCTAAAAAAATAAAAAGCAAAATAAAATTATCTGGTTTTGAGTAAAGGGAGAGGATTTTGGTTGTGGCTATAGAGGATAATAGGTAAAACCTATAGTAGATCAAATGGGAATTGGGGTTCTGGTCAAAGGAGGAGATATTAATTTGTGAGCAAGAAATTTCTTGGAATGTGGGGTTTAGTGGAATACGGGATTATTCGGGTGTGAGAGAAGATCACTGAGCTTCCAGTAGGGTGGTTTTAGGGTAGAAATTTTTTATTTTATTTTTTTATAATTGGTTAGTCAAAGGAAAGGGGATTTTTCCAACCGGGGGCAAAATTGTGTGAAGTTTTGCTATTCGTCCAAGCGCTGGACGAACAAGGGGCGTCGCGTCACATGCGCCCCTTGGAGAGACAGGGCCGTCTCTCTCGCAATTTGTGTTAATTAATTGGAACGGGTGGCTTAAAATAAAATTTTCTAAACTATTAGAATAAATAATATTTGTTTTAAGTAAAAGGGTGAAATTAAAATAAATATAAAAAAAATAAAAAATTTAAATATGTTTGAAACTAAATAATTACTTAAAAATCAAGTTTCACTCATTTCTATAGAAAAATATAAGTTCTCATTGAATTTCATTCAATGATACAACTATCTCACTAAATTTTTAAAATGTTAATCGTAGATCACTTATCTTTATAGTTGTAATTCATCCATCATTACGATTGATTCCATCTCTTCACTTGGACGGAAATCTGCACGTGGCTAACAAATATTTGACGTGATAGCCAATCACCAGTTAAGTACGCAACGTGAACAAAACATGTTTAAGTATCACACGGAAAAAAATGATTTTCTAAAATATAAACATAACTTTTATTATCTCACGATTCAAAATCTACTAAGAAACTTTATTATGTACTAAATAACAATTCCTAAATTGCCTATTTCACAAACCCAAAATCCTTAATTCCTCTTCCTCGATTTCAAGTTAGACAACACCAACACCCTAATTAGAGGGTCCACCCACGAGAAATAATCACACACATCATTGCGCCCATAAAATTGACATCGTCTTAACCTTCTTCCTAGGTTTGATTCCATCTAAGAAGTCTTCATTATCGGAAATTGATCAAGATGACACAATGTGCCATTCGAATTGCGTAACGAGAGAGGTGATTGCATTTTTTGAGAAACAAATTGGTTTAGGGTTCGTGCAATGGGTATTGTCCTATTCGAAATTGGGGGAGAGGAATTAGGAATTTGGAAATATTGTTTGTAATTTGGGGGCAAAGGAATTCGAGAATTTGGGTTAGGGTTTTCATATTTGGGACAATGAAAATTGTGTTTTATAACTTTGAGAACCCCTTTGTTGGGAGTGAGAATTGAACACATGTTGCTTATGTGGTGTATTTAATTGGGGCTTGGCTGTTGCGTCAGACTTTCCTTGGTCACGTGCACAATTCCATCCAAGCACAAAGGCGGAACTCATATCAGTGATGGACTGAAATTCGACGAGTTAGTCGTAACATGGAGCAAGGTTCAATGAACAATCATATATTTTTAATAGCCATTTGGACGATTCACTAAAATCAGGGATGCCGGTGTCAAATCTACGTTCGCAAGGTTAGAGACTTCGCTAGTGTTCCTTTAATTTTTAGGACAAATTAAGCTCTTTTACACAATCAAATCAATAGGACAATTATAAAAAATAAAAATTCTTCGTTTTAACTTTTCTAGTGTTGAACTCGATAACCACGTTGATGTGGTACAATTTATTTCAAATATATAGAGAGTTGAGTGGAGTAATTTATCTATAAAGTTGACCTCTTTTCTTTTTTTTTTTGGCGCAACTTTCATGGATCGCAAGTTTAGCCCCCAAAGTTCCTCTTCTCGAGGCACTTTCTCTTCATTCTCAGACTGACAAGCTCGAAACAATTAGCGCATACCATTCTTATGGATAGAATTCTAGATAGTATTCGTATATGATGACATTATTAGTACACTATTTGATAATATAGATTATACATTGGCTATTTAGGACAATATCGTATCGTACGAAGAAAAGAACAATTTCGATGCACAACAAACAATCGGATAAAAGTAAGAAAGATGAAATGAATGTGATAGAAAGAGTAATTGCATCATCTTGACCAATTTTCCCATTCAAAACCGATGGCGTGAAAGAAAAGTCTAAAGTTTTGATACATGAATGGTACCTTTCATTTTAAGACAATATTTGTGTCCCAATTCATTTCTTATGCTTATTGATGTTAATTGGTAGCCCGACTTTTTGGATTTGACTAAACTATATTTAATCTGTTAATGTTTTGAGCTGATGTAGTTTCATATTTAATAAACTCGATTTTATGTTTGGATCTGTTAAGAGTCAAATTTAATAAAGTTTAAAAACAAAAAAAATATAGATCAAAACATAAAGGGTTAGATAATTCTTCTTGATAAGATTTATATTCTAAGATAAATTCGAGGACTTACCATTTTACATTCTCGCTCTTGTTGGCTTCAACTTATACAGTAATCCTTGTGCGGATTTCAAGACTACAACTATAATAAAACATTGGTCAAGATACCATTAGCGTCTCTTACAACGACCATCGAACACTCATCATGAAAAAATTAGGAGAAGAGAATGCGCATGTACGTATGTTTTGTTTAGATAATATTTACTCGTTTTGAATGTCTCTTCAGGTTTTCAATCATGGAGCAAGGACCATCCTTTGTATTACTCGAGAACATGTTTTCAAAATCGTGATATTTTATGAAAACTTGAGAATTTTTTCCCTCCTGAATCATGGCTCGTGACTGCATTATCTCCTAATTCGAGGCTTAAACAAACAGTTTTTTTAAATGAAAGAAATCCGATAATAACAATCAACGTGATGTCAAAACAGACAAGTTGAGATCGTGTGACTAAAGGAAAGTTAACTAAGACATTGCAACCATATCAATAGATTGAACGAAGGTCAATCACGCAAATTTTCTTCAAATCTATTACTAAATCCTTATTTGATTCAACTAAAAAATTGATTAAAAATATAAATCGAAGTCATGATTAATTTTAACCAAATATTTCATTATAGACTTACAGTTTTTCAAGCATATATTTCATCAATTTTTATCAAAATTATTAAAAAAAACTGATTTTTGTCTAAATCAAACAAATGCTTTAGAACTCTTACCCTTACAGCCTTACTTGAGTCAGTGCCTAATGGACTGGTAATGGGTGTCTTAGTTGGGCTACCCTAACATCGTGGGCTTCAGTTTATGAAAGGATTGTGGGCCCATAGATTGGGCTGAACTTCTAAACCGTTGTACTTGACCCGTCACATCATCATGACAGTACAGTCCAACATAAACATTTTCCTAAAGACAAGAAAAAGACGTGATATTATAGGAAGGAAAAAAAAAATGTTTCCAAATATTTGAGAATTCCTCGAGGCATCATTTACCTTAAAATATTCAGTTTGATATGGACAGTGAACGTTGCTATTAATTATAGGAATAAAATCAAATTGATGTTCCAACTTTTTTAGTAATAGTCAACTTAATTCTTGCATAAACCATACAATTAATTTAGTAGTCAAAAAGGTCTAGTTTCCAAAGACATTTTTGTTACCTTATTTTAAAATAAAGAAAAATAAAACAACTGTCCAATTCAGGCATTTTTCAAGAACAACATAAAATAACGAATAGAGATATTTATACGGTGATAATAATTATGAATATTGAATTTTGGAGTTATAACTGTAAAAAACAGCATTGTTGATATTGTGATATAAATAGTGAACTACGATAATAAACTAAACGAAGATAATTGTCCGACTATCATTATGATCGATCGATTTATCACAATGATAGATCAACTACCACGATCGATCAATTGATCAACCAATAGGTGGTCGATCACTAAAAAGTTCAGTCTACCACCCAATGGTGAGTGGGAGGTAATCGATATTCACGTGAATGGGAGATAATCGATATACATGCAAGTGGAAGATAACCGGCATACATGTGGGTGGGAAACCGCTTAGCGATTGCATGGTCGAAAAGTCATCATAAATACCTGAAGGCATACCAGATATCTTGAATAAGTTCATAACTATTAGCAATTCAAATTACATGGCCAAAGTTAATTGTGTGTGTGCATAAAAGAAAAATATTTCAACCAAGATATTGGCCCCACCCTAACATTTACATTGTACGGATCATACTTACTAGTTGTGTCTTGGTCCGTTGGTGGTCCCATTTGTGTTCGTTTTTGAAATTGAAGAATTTATATAAAACGGTCTAAATCGAAGGTAGATTTTTTTATTTTTTTTCCTTCTCTAAAGTTTCAAATTATTTATAACTACTCTTTGCATATTGTAAGAATTCTAAAATTTCATCAACTTGATATAGTATTTTTCATCACCTCATGCCATATTAGCCCAGGTCCTCAGGAACGGACGCAGACCTTAAAAGTTAGGGGGACACAATCGAACTTACAAAGAAGTCGGGAGAAATTTTACAATAAAAAATTTACGTCCAAAAAAATATATCCCATGTAATTTTATATCCGAAAATTTACATGGAATATGACTTTTTCGGATGTTAAATTTCGGAAAAAATTTATGTCATATTCCATATAAAATTTCCTAATAAAATGATGAAAATTACATTGAGAAATTTGTATCGCAAAAATAATAAATGTTAATGAAATAATTGAATTTTTTAAAAAATGCGAGTTAGACGTCTTTTTTTACGACACATGTTTAATATATTTTTAATTATTTTCGATATTTGTTTGGACTATTCGATATGCCCATAATGTAGTTCTCGAAATAAGTTTTGAGATGACATAAGCAATTTGTAAATTCAATTAGCGTACGATCATCGGAGAATTTTTAAAATTAGCATGTTGCCCATGCAGGTCCCTAACTTTTATAATTATCTTATATTTTCCAAAAATTCTAGTATTTTTACGGACGTACCCCTTGCTAATCCCGACCCCTCGTGTT